TTGTTCCAAGGCGGCTGTCCTCGAGCTCGGCCTCAGTGGGGCCGGTCGTCGGGCCCCGGGGCCACCAGGCATGGAGCCGGGGCGGCAGCCGGCCTCCTCCGGGCATCGCTCGGACGTGTGTATTTTTTCTCGGCGAGGGCCATCGAGGAGCATACTGGGCTATTTTACAAAAAAACAAAAAAAGCAAACGCACGAAGCACAGACAATGCACGGGGGATGGGCGTCCGAGCGAGGGCAGGTCCGGGGAAGCGGCCGGGACCTTCGAGGCCGCGCGTCGAGAGGGTCGCGGGCGTCCGCGTCCCGGAGGCGTCTCGCCCCCGCGGGGCCTCGGGGCCTTCCCCGAGGGCGCCTTCGGGTGGGGGCCCTCCGAGGGCGCCCCGGGGGGAGAGGCTGCTTCCTGGGGGAGGGCCTCTGGGTCCAGAGCTCGGGCCGAAAGCGAAAGGGGGGGGTAGGGACAGGGGGGGATAGCAAAGGGGGGGGGGGGTGAGAATCAGCTCACGTAATTATAGCTGATTTTCCCGGCGCCGGGAGGCGCCCATGCATCGAGGAATGGGCCCAGCGGCGGGGCCGAAACCAGTTGCACGCAGCAGATTTCGTACCCCCCCCCCCCAGGGTCCCGTCTCCGCCCGAAGCCCCCGTCTCCCCGAGCCAAGACGAGTGGCGCGCACAGCTGCCCGCTGCGCCGGCGGGCGCCTCTCGCGCGCGGCGCTCGGAGCGCGGCGCGCGCGGTGCCCGAGCTCGGTCCGCCAGGAGGGTGTCTTCCGCGGCGCCGCGCGGGCGGATCTGCGAGGCAGCGAAGCTCGGGGGCGGAAAAGAGGGGGGTGATGACTAGGGGGGGTGGATATCATGGCGGGGGCCATGATATTTCCCCAGATTTCATGGCGCCTCTTCTTATTTCATTACGTCCCTGGCCCCCCCGCTGGGCCGCGCACATGCCGCCGGTCATGATTTGCACCCCCCCCTCTTGGACACCCCCCTCTTGGCCGCTCCCGAGAAGCTCGGGGATGGGCAGACCTCCTACCCTGACACGTCGATGAGTGAATTGTCCGTTTTCGGTTCTCGGGAGGGCGCCGCGGCCGTCCTTTTCCAGGCTTGCGCCCGCCAGGTTCTGGCCCGAGGTCGTTTTCACTAAGCCACGTCTTACGAAAGGGAGGTCTGTCCATCCCCGAGGAGCTCCATGCGCGTGGCCGTCGATGCGAGGGCACCCTTCGGGGAAGCGTAAGACTCGGGCAAGCCGGAGCTCGGGCTTGCCGACGTGTTCTGATGAGCGCGTCTTGGATTTTGGCTGCCCAGTTTCGGTGGGATGCCTGCAGCGGGAGCTCGCGTCAACTTGCAGATTGGGTCTCGTAATTTTTGTGATGGCGCCGTCAGGCCAACCCGAGTCCCGCGTGCCCGAGTCTTACGTCTCCCCGAACCCTCGAGGGCGCGAAGTCATTCGCGCTTCGTGCCTCGCGGCTGGGCTCCGACGCCTCCTCGTCCTCCTGCTCTCCCCTGTGGAGCGGCGCGGGAGCACGAGGTCGTTCGCGCGTCGCGCGGCGCAAGGCTCGAAGTTAAGCGCCCCTGTTGGTGGCATGCGTGGCTGTTTCGTGCCTTTTCTGCCGACGGCCTGGTGAGCCGTGTAGTGTCGGGCCGGGCGAAAGGGGGGGATTGGGAAAGGGGGGGTTGCGAAATCTGCTGCATAAAGCTAGTTTCGGCCCCGCCGCCGGGCCCATTCCTCGATACATGGGCGCCTCCGGCGCCAGGAGGCGCCGGGAAAATCAGCTACGTGAGCTGATTCTCAACCCCCCCCCTTGGCTATCCCCCCCTTTCGCCCGACCCGAGCACCGCGGCTAGAGCGCTGGCCACGGCAGACGGATGCGACGCAGAGAAACTTCGGACGCGTGGTTATTTGGCGGCATCATGTAGCTGACGGCAGCCGTCAGAGGAGGAAAAGGCACCCATACCGCTACCCTTCGCCCGTCTTCCCCCTTTTCTGCCTCCTGGGAGGCCCTTGCCGCCACCGCTGGATTCGCCTCGAAATCCTGGTCAGAACGCACTCCGGAGAGGTCCTGGGAGTAGCGGTATCGGTACTTTTTGGTCTCCCCAAGATGTGTGCGGCGAGGTGCGGTCGGCGGAAGTGTCTAGCAGTTACAATTCGGTGATGTGGTCACCATCATATGCACAATTTCTTGAGTTCGAGTTGCACACATGTTGCTTCCCATGCGTTATGCGTCGTCCCTCGTGTGTGCGTGCACGCCCCCTGTTCGTCTTCATACGCTCAGCAAGATATGGAATATGCCTCAGGAGGGAAAGAAACACACAGACACCATTAATCGGCGATTCCCCAGAAAATATGGGAAAATATGGGAAGTGGGGGGGAAGGCAAAAACCCAGAACATATGGGAAAACTAAGGGGAATCCTTTTATTTGTGTGTATTTATTTGTGCGTCCCAGGGCCCTCTCAATGCCTTCTGCCATCCAGGCTTCCCACCTGCGAGGTCGAGCTGCAGTGAGCGTCACCGGTGCGCGTAGCGCTGGCGATCGCTGCTGCGCCTCCTCCTCCTCCTGCCGCGGCCGGCACGTGCTCCAGCTGTTCCCCGACCGCGCTCCAAAGCTGTGCCTGAGGGCGTGGCCTGTCGAGTTGGCGAGGGTGCTCCTCCTCCTCCTCCTCCTCCTCCTCCTCCTCATCTTCCTCCTCCTCCTCATCCTCCTCCTACTCGCACCCCTAAAACGACGCGAAGATCGGGACAAAGTCGGATCGGGATAGCTCGAGATCGCTGAGAATCGGCGGGTTTGGAGGACGTATTGGGTGCCGCGGCCGCTCCAGAGCGTTCCGGAACACTCTGAGAGCGCTCCGGAACGCTCTGGAGCGATTTATCCCGATCCTAGCCCTGTTTTATCCCCCTTCCCCAACAAGATGAGTGGTGTTTGTGTTGTTCGGTGGTCATGGCGCTCGTGACGCTCTCTCTCTATTTCTCTATTGCTCTCGGCTCCTTTCTCCTCCGTGTCTCTCTCTCTCTCTCTCTCTCTCTCTCTCTCTCTTTTTGTTCTCGCTTTCCATGCCTCTGTCCCATCTGTACCACACTTGGATGCAGGTCTCAGTGAACGATGAGGATCGGAAGGTTGATTAGGACGGCAATAATATTTAGCTGCCTGCGGCAAGTCGTGCATGGTAGAGTGAGCTTTCTAGTTGGCAGTTAGTCGAGTGGATACGGGGGGCCGTCACGTGTGACAACTCGTGTTTCCAGTGTTGGGAGAGCCGTGATGATGAGTACGATGTTGATGATGATCGTGACGATGGTGATGATGATTGTGATGCTGATGATGATGACGTCGACGACGACGACTATAATGACGATGGTGGTGGTGGTGGTGGTGATAGCGGTGGTGGTGATGATGGTGTTGATTATGATGAAGATGGTGATGTTGACGTGTTGGTGACGTGGTGTTAAGTATGTTGATGCTGTTGGTTATGACGGTATTGATGGTGATGTTGGTCCTGGTGACGATGGTTATGATGGTGGTAATGATGATGACGATGGTAATGTTGATAGTGATGATAGTGATGTTGATGGTGATGATGCTGATGATGATGATGACGCCGACGATCATGATGATGGTGGCTATGCTGATGATAGTGATGATGGTGCTGCTGGCGGTGATGGATGGCGAGTGTGATGATGCTGATGATGCTGATGACGATGATGGTGGTCATGATGATGATAATGATGGCGATGTTGATGACGATGATGATGATGGTGATGGCGCTGATGCTAATGCTGATGATGATGATGCGGATGACGATACGTATGATGATGATTGTCTTATGGTGGTGCTGACACCGATGGTGCTGATGATGCTGATGCTTATGCTGATGATGATAATGATGGTGAAGCGGGTGATGATGATGATGATGATGATGATGATGATGATGATAATGTTGCTGATGATGATGCTGATGATGATGATGGTGATGGTGATGGTGATATTGATGGTGATGGTTGTGGTGCTGGTGATGGTGATGGTGACGGTGGTGGCGGTGGTGATGATGAGGAGGTTGAGGATGAGGATGAGGATCAGGGGGAGGTGATGATGAGGATGATACTTTTGATGGTTTTGGTGGTGTTGGTGATGATGATGATGATGATGCTGATGATGATGATGTTGTTGATGATGCTGACGATGATGAGGAGGAGGACGAGGAGAAAGAGGAGGAGGAGGAGGTGGGGGAGGTGGAGGAGAAGCAGGAGGAGGAGGAGAGAAAGAGGAAGGCCGTCACATGTGATAAACTTCGTCTTCGCAATCTGAGGAGCTCTCGCGTAACTCGTTTGGCCATCTTTGGGTTGTGTTGGCCTCCTATGAAGCAGTCTTGTGGGTCCCTGTGGCCCGCTTGGAGACCTTTCTCGCAATCTTGGGGCTCTCTTGGGCCGTCTTGGGATCGTCTTGCCCGTATGGTGGGTGTCTCGCGGCCGTCGTGGGGCCGTCCTGGGCCGTCGAACGGCCTTTTATGGCCGCCGTGGGTCCTACCGGCGGCCTTCTTGAGCCTTCTTGGGGCCGTCTTGGATACCTCTTTTGCCATCGCGGGACCTCATGTGCCCATTTTCGAACGCTCTTGGGGGCCTCCTGGGCCGTCTTGCGGGCGAGGATCCGGCTCAAAGACCGAAGGGAAGTGTATAAGTGTGTTTCCTTCGGGCCTTGTTGGAGGCCCGCCTACGAAGGCGCGGAGCTTCGCAACCGAGGGCCCGTCGCCGACATACCAGCGACGCATCGCCGACTCCAGCCCGATGGCGCCTTCTCAGAAGCCCGCCCCTCTCGCGCCGCCCGCTGGCGGGCGCCGCCCAGGTTGCCCTATCAGGGGGCCCTCTCTGGGCCCCGGCGCCATGGAAAACACAGGATTCGGGATGGTGATTGCTGTTGTTCCACATCCAAAGTGGGGTTCTTGTTTTCTCTGCACATCCCCCGAGCAGTATCTCTCCCACCCCTTCTATTCCTCATCAGCATCGTCATCATCATCATCATCATCATCATCATCATCATCATCATCATCGTCATCGTCATCGTCATCGTCATCGTCATCGTCATCGTCATCATCATCATCATCATCATCATCATCATCACACTCACACACACACTCACAGTCACCCCCCCCTCTCCGCCTCACTCACTCACTTCATCGTCATCACTCACACACTCACACACCCACACTCACTCGCTCACACACTCACACCCACCATCATCATCACCATCAGCAGCACTCGATCACTCACCCACTTACTCACTCACTCATTATCATCATCCATTCACTCACCATCATCATCACTTACCCATCAGTTCGTCACCACTCACCCCCTAGCTTGAATACGGAGGAAGGATTAAGCCTGGGCTTCGTCGGTGAGTGAATTGCGAGGAAGTTTCAGGCGAGAGCCCCCTTCCCGATGGGTCCCGCACTTCATGTTGGTAATCCGAGCGGGTCATCCTCAACCCTGTAACTGTCGTCAACGTTGGGTTCCTGAGGCTTGAATATGTAGGACGTCTCAGGCGGGAGCCTTGTCCGTGAGTGAATTGCGAGGAAGTCTCAGGCGGGAGCCCCTTCCCGATGGGTCCCGCAGGGTCATCCTCAACCTTGTAACCGTCGTCACTGTTGAGTTCCTCAGGCCTGAATGTGTAGGGAGTATCAGGCGGCAGTTTCGTTTGTGAGCGAATGGTGAGGCAGTCCCAGGCGGGAGCCCCCTCCGTATGGGTCCCGCGCTTCGCGTTGGTAGCCCGAGCGGGTCATCCACAACCCTGTAATTGTCGTCGCTTCTGGGTTCCTGAAGCTTGAATATATAAGAAATCTCGGGCGGGAGCCTCGTCAATCAGGAAGAAGTATGAGGCGGCAGCTTGTTGTGTGAGTACAGTGTGAGGAAGTCTCAGGCGGGAACCCCCTGTCTATGGGTCCCGTATTTCATGTTGGTAATCCGAACGGGACACCCTCAACATTGTAACCGTCGTCGATTTTGGGTTCCTGAGGCTTGAATATGTAGGACGTCTCAGGTGGGAGCCTCGTTTGTGAGTGGATTGCGAGGAAGTCTCAGGCGGGAGTCCCCTCCCACTGGGTCCCGCATTCCACGTTGGGATTCCGAACGAGTTATCCTCAACCGTGTACTGTCGTCACTTTCGGGTTCCCGAGGCTTCAATATGGAGGACGTATCAGGTGGCATCCTCGTTCGTAAATGAAATGAGGCAGTCCCAGGCGGGAGTCCCCTCCCTATGGGTCCCGGATTCCTCGTATGTAATCCGAGCGGGTCATCCTCAACCTTGTAACAGTCGTCTCTTTTGGGCTCCTGAAGCTTCAATATGAAGCAGTATCAGGCGGCAGCCTCTGGTGATTTAATCGTGCGGAGGTCTCAGGTGGAAGCCCCCTCCATATGGGTCCCGTTTTTTCCCGTTGATAACCCGAGCGGGTCATCCTCAATCTTGTAACCGTCGTCATGTTTGGGCTTCTGAGGCCTGAATATGTAAGAAGTCTCGGGCGGAAGCTTCGTCTGTGAGTGAATTGCAAGGAAGTCTCAGGCGGAACCCCTTTCCCCACAGGGCCCGCGCGCTGGCCTGGGACGACCACGGCGTCCTGGACCTTCGGCGCCAGCACGACAACTTTCGGTTCGGCCGCGGCATGGGCATCTACTGGGAGACGCCCGCGAGGTGGATAAACACGCGCGCCTGTCGCGACGCGCGGCGTCTGGGCGTGCCCCTCGTTTTCCTGCAGGCCGTGGACGAGCACAGCACGATCCAAGGCAACCCAGACGCGGGCCGGCGCCTCCTGAACGGCCCGAACATGCAGGACGGGGGACATCGACGGCGTCTTACCAGCACACGTCGGCATGGAGGTTCGCTTCACGGCCGTGCAGGAGGAGTTGAAGAAGAAGATGGGGCTCGTGCAAGACCAACGGACAACCGTCGCGCCCTTCGAGTTTCACCCAGACGACGAGCGGGAGCACGAGGAGCGCGCGCCAGGCCAGCTCTTTCGCCCCCACTACCTACCGCGGGGAAAATGGCTGCAGGCCCACGGCTTCAAGGAGTCCGCGATCTACATGGAGGTCGCCCAGCTGCTGCTGCAGGGCGCCAAAGACGCTGACGACGTCGGCGAAGCCGAGGTGCGGGCGAGGAGCTCGCTGATGTTCAGGCCCAGCGAGCAGGAGTTCGCGCGGCAGAGTTCGGGGGCGCACGTCGTGCGCCGCTCGGGGTTCACCCTGGCGCACGCGCCCCATCTGACCCCCGCGCTGTCGCGGGGCCAGACGCTGCGCAAGGGCGCCGCCATTGACTGCGCCAGGGGCGACGCTGGGCCCGCGGGCATGTCACCCGAGCAGCGGCGGCTGTACCCCTACGTCATGTTCACCCGCGCCACGCGCGTGCGGAGCGCGCTGATCCCGCGGCCGCCCCCGCGAGACATCATGGGGCGCGGGCCGCCGGCGCCCCTGCGGAAGGCGCTCCAGTGCTTCGACGAAACAGCGAAGACCTCCGGGGATGAGGCCGAGCAGCTCGTCGCGGAGCATAGCTTCGCGCTGCCTCCCGCCCGAGCGCCGCGGCGCGCAGCGGGGCTGCCCCGGCGGCCTGCCCCCGCGCCCCAGCGGCCCGCGGGGCCACCCCACAGGCGTGACCCGCTGGGCTG